TGTCATTAGTGATTATCTCAATTTCAGCTAAAAGAATTGACAAAATCCTACACATTGTGCCTTTAACTATCATCTTAAGCACTGAACGTTTGTTGAACTGATTAAATATTATTAGCAGCATCCTCTAGGACACTAATATTGCAACAAGGATAAATGATGGAAAGGTCATTACAAATCTTCTACCTGGAAATGGAAGAAGATACGTCCCCCGCGATGTGGGTCCAGACTAGGCCTGTCCTGGCTCCATGGTAACAGTTGCTATACTAAACGAGGCTAACCCAACTCCAGGGTCAAAATCATTATCATTCCACACTCAGGCAAAGAATTACAATCACTCCCTCTGCAGGGACTCATTCTGTGAGATCAGCAGGGACATCCATCCTGATATGAATCTGTGATAATCAGATACTCAGATCATGAGGATCATTAAATCATCCCCTTCATTAGCCTTAATGAGCTCACAACAACGAAAGCGCTGTTAGGCAGAGAGGGGAGGTGCAAACTCAACAAAACCAGCCTGAAATTGCACGATAAGTTTCTGTTCCTGGTTTTCAGGAGTCTTCCCTGGAAATCAAGTGGCCACTTTAACACCCGTCTGGTCCCGGAGCGTCACAGTTAATGCAGACCCTCACTTGTTGCTGTTTGTGTTCTTCAGCTGAGCATGAGTGGGGCTGTCAGGGGAGCCTTTTTACTGCAAAGTCTGCTGTGCATCTGGAGAGCGTCAGCAGCAGCGACGAGGCTAACATTTAGCTTCGCTCATTCGTGAGGCTGTCAGATGTGAAGGCAGGAACACGCTACTCTGATTTCTGTGCTAAAATCAGGGTTTTCAGCTCTGGAATCACAAAAAAAAAATCAATTAATTAGATTTGTCAGGAGCTATTAGAATGCACAAGTGAAACATTAGCATCAAATTACAATTATCGTGTCGTTGTTGTCGTGACAATAACCTGTATTCACCTGATAGGCACTAACAAAGGCTTGTCAACACAAATGATCTACTTTGCTCCAGAGTAAACAAGCATTTGGCGAGCTAAATAATTAATGGACCGTTTTCCTGTTAACATTAAAGCCTCCAGCTGTGACAACACAGCCGAAACATGCCGCAAATTATTCCGACATAACAACCCCCCCGCCTCCTCTTTTCCAGCCTCTTCAGCTGCTTTAAGGGGCAACATCTGCCAAACAGGGGGAGTCTTATCTCACACTTTTAAAAATAGTGATCCAGATCTGCATTTACGTAAATTAAAGTTCATATCTTACGCAGTGGGTTCTGTGGAAATGTCAAACAAAATAATATGCCTGTTAGCACCTCTGAGAGAAGAAACAGAGCTCAGTTTTGATTAGACTGACGACCAAAGCAGATCTTTTAAATTTTTCAATGATTCATATAAATATTTTCTTATAAACTTTTATAATACACAATAAGTCAGAGAAAAAAGACAAAACTCTCAATGGAAGTTGCCTAAAGTTGCAGTGAAGTGCTTCAGCTTGCTGCTGCTTTATGGCAAACAACCATGTAACTCTATGTAAATACTCATGCATGAAACGATTTATGAAATACCATTCCCATAAACTGACATAAAACTTT